GGGTGCTTCGCATTTCGGAAAAAATTAAACGGGAATCTTTCATTCGAGCTCGAAGATGGTCCAACATTGGGATTCGCTCTCTACAGCAGCTGACATCTTCCGTGAGAGCCGCGGTTCGAGTCGGGCATCGTATTCGGAAGGGGTCGAAATGAATAAAACAAAAGCCAACGGACTTATGCGGTCGATTTTTTGTGAATACTTGATTGATCCCTTGCTCTAATTTCGACAGCACGAATTTCTATAACCGAATAGATTTCGATGCGGTGAACCGAATTTCACACTCCGCCTGCTATACACACGGAACATTTCAACAGCTTGAGCGGGAAAAAAACTGGAAAAAACAAACGCCAAGCCGACGACGGAGAAGTTCCGTCACCATGTAAAAAAGAAAGTGTCTTTACGTGATTGGTGTAAGGAAACGTATTTCCGTAAGTGAGCTTCAGTCTCAGGTTCCCACCATTATTCCACAGAATTCCACGCGAGGTGTTGTTTTTATGCATTCTTCGGAATGCGCGCTTAGCATTGTTTGCTTTCGAGGAAGCTCACAATGGACAGCTCATGCAAAGACATGGGACAGTATGAATGCGTCTGAACATCTGTTCCGTGCTCAGTGGAAGCAAGAGTTAACATCTGTGTCAGCGACTTCTCCTACTGAGGAACTGAGGTGTGTGAACAACGGTATACAAGACCACAATGTGCGTCCTGGATCCTTGGGACAAGGCTTTCTATCCATTCTTCACATGAATATTTGTGGAATTCTCGCGGCGATCTTCGATTCAAGATTCTCTGACGGACTGGCTGAGGGAAAGCTCACGGAGGGGGGATCGAATGTGAAAAAGTCGACTCACTCAGGAAGAGAAGACAAAAAAGTGTAAGACCCGCGTAAAGTTCAAGTTTAGGTTACGTCGGTCTTCCACTTGGGGAAGGAAACAATCCGTGACCGAAGAGCAGAATAAAAATGAGTGAACAGTCGAAAAACTCTTCAGAAATTTCACGCAAGATCACGACTCTACAGTCAAGTAGAACCGGCCAGAAATGACGACGCGGTCGGGAATCGAATGGGGTGAATCATTTGCCAAATATCCTGTCTTACATCATGGATTGAAGGCGAGTCCGCATCGCTAATGGTCTATAACGGAAGGCAGAAGAATGCGACGTATGGAAGGAAATTATTCTCTGTTGTAATTGGAAACAATGAATCGTGCCGAATGAGTACGAGACTCGTCATCGCCAGAGTGGTCCTCGATAATGCTTATTGTGATCGGGAGTTCAGCTCGGTGAAATTTCATGACTACGAACGGAAATAAACGATCGCATCCATCCGGGAGCTGGTGCATGATATCGCTTCGAAAATCGCCTGGATCTGCTTCGTTTCGTTCTGTTCCGAACTGCATCGCTGCTCCGTTGGCCGTCAAACGACGAGGTGGGAGCTGACAGTGAAAACTACAGTTCGAACAAGTTGAATGCAGAACGCTCCACGATTTTCTCAATGCTCGGACCGTGGGTATTAAAGGTCTCCCACCAATAGTATACGTCCTTGATTTGGAAAATTTACCGCGAAGAGCGAGCCGAAGGGAGCATGCCAACACAATGATAATAGCTATGCGATTGACGTACGGCCCGAGCAACTCTTTCCGACGCTCTTGGTGGTGGGATGTCAGATATTGAATAACGTCTTCGTCAGCCCCGTACTTTGTCTCAGCAGCCCCCGCGTTTCGACAAGTGTAGCGAGATCTTTCCTTATCTCGGTGCAATCAACGACCCTGCATTAGAAATTCACGCGATCTGTCCAATTTCGGACTGGCCGATCGGAGTCTCCTGAAAGAGAAATCAAACTCAGGTCCGACGGAAATACGGGCCCGAAATAGAGGGTGCGTTGCGAAATACCATGAAATGCCTAGAATGGAATGAAGGGAACATCGCGATTGATTCATGCCGATATAATCAATTTCTAGATTGTTCGATCCCTCCTTGTCAGCTGCTTTTCTCTTCGTTTCGCACAACCGACGGCTTGATCCCTCGATTATTTCAATTCATCAGGTGTCGGTGCAACGCGATCAATCCAATAAGTTATGACGGATCGGCAGTCGCACAAGTGTTTCGAACAGGAAGAAGTTGACCGCTCGAGAAAATGTTGAAGATGCTATATTTCAATCCGATGTTCACAGATAGCCAATTAGCGTCTCTGTGTCTGAAACGATCATTTGATGACACGGAAGCTTGTGTCCCTTCATCCCTTCAGCGAGCGGGACCGAGGCGATGCGGCAATCACAATTACGAGTCACGATACGTTTCCTAGCACCGAACGCTCCATACGCAATGGGAAATTGATCTTACGATCTTCAACGTCGCGGCTTGAGCTCGATCGGGGGAGATCGCAGCGAATTTGTCGAGCTGATATGTCATGCGCAATAGAATTCCTGAAGGGAATCAGCCTCGCTCCCATTCGAACTCCGCGAAGATCTTACCCCTTCGCTGACTGGATCGCTATCCTGACCGTTTCTGCGGGATGATTAAAATTACGAAATGCATTCTATTCAATTTATCTGGAGGGCGAGGCCGGCGAGAGCTTGGATCGTCTGTCCGCCAAACTGAATTCGTTGCCTAACAGTTTCACTTTCTTCTCTTCTGACATCTGCTCACGTCGCGTTGTCTGGTTCCCGATGGCTCCTGGGTCACTCACTTCAGTGGGTCACACACAAACATGTCTTTGGCGAGTCCGTCCTTTTGCTAAGTTTGCTCTAGCGTTCTGGACGACCGCTTGGCCTAATTGGGTCACGAGTCAAAGCCGCCAGAATATGAGTAGACAATGATCTGCACAGAATCCGTGGCAGTGTCTTCTCTGATTGAGTTTGTCGTCGGAGGCGGCGGCTCACGTTGTTGCTTTTGTAGCGCACGCCTTTTGTCTTCCTATATAACGTGTCCTTAGTTGAGGCATTTTGTATCGCGTGCCTGAGCTGCCTCCTCCCGTCTTATCGCTCGACTCCACCTGACTTCGTCTGTTTCTGAATACGGAGCAGAGAGACAAATCGCACGACAACTCCAATCAAACAGGACTTCGGCGGGATAATATAGTTCCGGAGTTTCCATTACTCCCGTACAGAAGGCAATTCACTGAATCCCCAGGGAGGTGTTTTTAGGCTCGAAGTTCGGTCGGCACCTTGAGTCTTGCGAACGAAAAGAAGTCCGACAAGTCAAAAAACGATACGCCTGTCGAAGAATCATTCTCGTATCTTATCTTGGATACCCTCTGAACTTGTACCGACAGCGAAATTCTCACTTTCTCTCTCGCAGTTTTGTTTATTCCTGTTTTCTTCGCGGAAAAGTCCTTCTGATTCCTCCGGGAATTGATATCGAAACCCGGGGTCAGGTCCATGGAGAACCAGTGAGACTGCCCCGATAGAACAGTAGGAAATCTTCAGAGCAACATTTTTACGCGCAAGTCCGACCGAAATGAAAACGATCCGTTGTGTTTTTGTTTTGAAGAATATGATTTGTTGTTAGGGTTCATACGTTCCTCAACTCGTCTTCTCCCGTCTTCTTTCCAGTTTGCCCGACAAATTATTAAACACGAGGTGCGGGTGTCGTCCTTGACCTGGAGCCAGCTCTCAATTATTATATCTGCAGCGGACTGCCGAATTCGCAGCTCAGCTCCACTCGGTCAGTGACCGTAACTTCAATCGAAATGCAGTTTCATCTCCCGAGCATTTAGAGTTCTTCTAATTAGATAACGGGAGACATCGCGAGCCGCGAGCTCTGAGATCAAGAGGCAGAACTAGGCTGAAATTCCGTCCGGACTTGGTCTAGGTAGCGATACGACGACCATCGAAATCCCCGGGAGCGCTCAATTGACCGCAACGCCTCCAATCGAAAGCGGACTCTTCGTCGAAATGTTTCCGAAAAGTTCCCGGAATTCCATCGTGTTTCTTGGCTTTTTTTCACGAGATCCAAGGGCGAAAATAAAAAAGGCTCAGAAAAATATCTCACGATGAGCTATTCATCCATTTCCACGCAGCGGCGAATCTTCAGTCGGTACCGCAAGGAAATTCGATGGTTTCCTCGTCACTTTCTAATGGATTCCTGCGACCTCTCCTGGAACGCCTCACACCGTGGCGAAAGTGCTCCGATAATGTTTCGGGATCACGGATGTCATCTGTTTCCGATAGCGGGCCGCATCGAATCAGACCGATGCGGATCACACGGCTCGTGATAGTAAGCGAGAGTCTCATTCCGCTCATCTGTGGGATCGACTTCCTCATTCGAGCGATTCCTCCAGAAACCAGCAGCAGAACAAGTTTAGTGAGCAAGCTAACATAAAAAATAATCAGAATAATTCACGATAATTTACAACAGATTCTCTCGGGACGAGCCGCTCAGGTCAACGGTCATAGTTTTCAATGGGCCGACGCCGACGTGCCTATGATGACTGGATGCGAGAAGTTGTCGCTGACCCGCAGCCACGGAATGCCGGGGTCCGATAGCGGTCCACGGACAAATAGTGCACATAATTCCTACAGTTATTTTCCCCTTGACTCAATGCTTCCTGGACTTGCTCAACCATCGAGTTGCGAGTTTCAACCCGAAACTCCTAGAGTTTTCTTCGACTAGCTATATGGGCTCAAGATGACGAAAATTTAGCAAAAACGACCGCTCCTACGACCTGCGAGTCCTGCGACTGAATAATCTGAGAGGGTGAAAATGCGGATACGATCGTCTTGGTCGGGCATTCCGTCCCCGACGAATTGAGCGTCGAGAATAGGGAGCGACCGGAGCAAATACTGGGAGGAATCGATGACTTGAAAAAATATAATCGCCAGCCCGGCTCCCAGTCCTGTCTCCTCTGCTATATTGAAATTTTCGGGAAACCGCGACGGCTCCCGAAGGAATAGTAGCTTTGAATCGATCGAGTTCCTCGACTTCTCGGCTCTAATGGACGTCCTCTCCATTCCAGATTGGTCATGTCTAATAATTGAAGAAGTACTCGGCTCACAAGAAGCAGGATGCCGTCGTCTCTGATTTGCGATACTTTCGTGGAGAACAGCTGGCGTCGAGATCTGTGCTCGAACTGCTTCCGGTGCGAAGCCGAACATGAGATCACGTGAGTAGAAGCTTCAAGTTCTCCGGACCTAGATTTCCCTTCCATGTGTAGGCGTAGTCATCATTTCGCAAGGACTCGTGCCCTCGACTGACAAGATGGTTAGGGGCTGCCGCCGCAAGACGCCGGCAAGGCAATGGCAAGAACTCGTACTCAACCCGGCATCGCTGAGATTGGATGCTGTACGGGGCTGTCTCCAGCCAGATTGAGATTCCAGCCTATTTCCGCCTATGCCGATTGCTCAAAACAAGGAATTCTCCCGACATCAGCACCGAACGCCGATTTTTATCCTTGGTGGTTCCCCCGCGAAATCAATGAATGTATACGAGCTTTGTTTCTTGACGTGTTGTAGATTCTCTACAGCGCAGAACGATCGACGACTGCGTGTTGCGTGTGCGGAATTTCATACGATTCCTTTTCATATCAAGCGAGAAGCTTTCAAGGGATACAATTTTTTTGTTGACTTATCTCGCACTTCGGGAAGCGAAAAATCGCAAATAGTTCAGTCATGGATCGGCTGCGCTTCGGAATCGATCAATCGGATCTGCGGCGGAACCGAGAAGGACCTTGAAATTTCGAGGCGTAAAATTCAATGACGATGGCTCGGTCATTAAGTCTTCAAGACACCGGTCAAGCGAATTCAATTTAATTTTGATCAATGTGCAATCAATCGAAATCATTGTGTGATTCCTTCCTCAGAATGGTGCGGAGCACAAATCCAAGACTGACCACATCATCAGCGAAGATCGACACGACTGCGCGTGACTTTCGGAGCGATCTGCATCTGTCTCTGTTGAACTCCAGCAAAATATTCGCAGATACCAGGTCTTCGAACCAAGTGACAACGAGACCGAACCCTACCGTGAAGAGTATTCTCAAGGGTGGGCCGCTCCCGAACAAGAAGAAAGGAGTTGCATTCAAGGACGAGGAACAGGTCATCGGTTTCGGGGGCTTGGACTGTGTGCCAGAGGACGGAGACGACGTCGAAGACGATGACTGGGACGTTTCAGAGGAGGACTTCGACGAGGCTCTTCTCGATTCGCTGGACACCACCGAGCAGGACAAAATGTTCACCAAGCTCACTAAGAAAAATACTGATTTCAACTCGATCAATGCCAATCTCAACAAGGATACCAAGAACTCACAAAAGGGTGAAACGAAGGTCGATCACTCGGCAAAGCTGTCGATGCCGATGAACACGGAATTGATTCGCGACGATCATCGGATCGACTTGGATCTGACGAGAAGTGTCACCGAGGAGCTCGATAAACGTCTGCAGCTGATGCGAAGAAATAAAAAAGGAGCGAAAGACGACTTCAATTATCTCGACGAGTCCTGTAAGGACGTCCTAACCGCGGAAGACCTCAGCCTCACGAGGGACCTGCTCATCGGGGACGCTAAGGGCGACTCAATCGACAGCGGGGCTCCCTCATCCCGTGAGAGTTCGTCTTCTCCCGACAGCTTCTCTCTGAAAGGTGAGATCATCCCTTCCCAATGAAGAACCCTACGTGGAGAAGTCGACCAGGTTTCTGGTCGAGAGCGGAGGGAGACCACTGCCGTCATTCAAAAATAAGCGAATTTGTTCCCCCCTCCAGGCTCGGAACGAGGATCTTCCTCACCCGACTCCACCAGATCCTCGAAGTCGTCAGCCTACGAATCCATATACGATACAGTCGAAAATGCGAAAGCTCAATCAAATCACATTTCCACTGTGATGGTGAACAACGCCATGATAACAAGCAAGAACAACTCCAATAATAAGAAGTTGGACCACGAAAACAGCAGGAACGACTTGAATAGCTCACAGCCAACAGAAGTGACGGCTATTTCCGTCGGCGACAGAGGTTAGTAGTACCATCCGATGAATCTTCGAGGGTTCTGAGCGCGTTCCGATCGGAACTAGTCGCTGGTGTTTCACGAATGTCAGCGGGGAAAGTCAATGAGAGTCTAAAAGCCTTTTCCTCCTCGCCGCCATGACAGGTCTGGGTCGACAGCCCGTACGACGAGCTAGTCATCGCGTGGTGCTGAGAACAGACTCAGATACTGTGATTGCATCAAACAATGCGACTACAATCCAAATCGAAGGGCAGCCTCGAGGAAATCAGCTCAAAACGAACGCTCAAAATAAGGTATTCTATTTTTCCAAGCAATGCTCCGAACGGATTGTGGTTCTGAGACTAGAAGCCGCGATGTATTCGCGGCTTGTGCATATTGGTGGCACTCCCGCGAGGAGCTCCCTCAGATTGAGAGCCAGTGGCCTTTTCAAGCTTGCCCGAGCACCTTTGCGGACAGATCTGGCTCGGATGAATGTATGAAGCCTCGCATCAAAGCTCGTGGGCTTGGGAGAAAGAATTTCAGCCGGCAGCTCGAAGAATTTCGTGACAAGAATACAGCACTCGAATTTTCCAATTTGAAAAACTTTCGCCCCGGCGCTACGCGGGAGCCCTGAATTCCTGCAGCCATTTCGAAACTATTTTACGCTCCTTGTCCAGTCGCGAGTTCTGGAGTCATCAAGGATGATTCTCCATCCCTGTGATAGATTCGTGAAGAGGGACTCGCCTAAAGAACCATATACGGTATCTCTAGGCTGCGCATTCAAGTGCACAATTTGTCGTGTAGAGCCTTAATCGCGCAAAACGAAGACCAGCAGATTCGTTGGGCGCCCCAGTCAGTGGTCATAGCTGTCACGGAGACGACGCGACGCCGGCGTATAGTCCCGCAGTGTTCCGTTAGGGAGACGAAGTGCATGATGTATCATAATGTTGTTCAGAGCACTGATTTCTATTCTCGAAAAGGTCTCCTCGCAAACGCTGAAGATCAGTGAGTTCGCCTTGGGCTCCCAAGGACTGCAACCGGCCAGAAGTGATTCCAATCTCCTGGAGGCAAAAACCGCACTGAAGGTAAATCGCTTCTATCGAATTTGTAACTACTGTTGGAGTCTATGAGCCGCCCATGATCGATCACTGGTTCCTTCGAGAACACTGTCAACGGGGCGATTGACGACGCGTCGGGGAGCGTCCGTCAAGGAGCTCAACTCAATCAAATGTCAATCCTCAGACCGCATCGTCATCGGTTCCCTCTTTCAATGCCCCTATGTGCAGGACAGCCGTAAGCGAGCTCCATCTGGATCGATTCTCGCAGAAGAATATTCCATCGAATAATGGTCGGCAGGTTAAGTGTCTCAGTGCGGCAAACATCGAACAGAGGTGAGCGACAAGTCGAGCCGTACGCAGTACTCGTGACGAAACGTCGTTCGTATGAAACTCAAGCGAAAAATACACGTGCTTAGGATGCGAGCGATGGGTCGGCCCGGCATTCGTCCTAGCGAGGGCTGCGAGAAAAAATTGCGAAAAACGCTCGTGCTTCGTGAGCGAGTCTTACTAATTCGAAGGATAGTCCGAGCGACGAGTTCATACGGGTGATCTGTGTGAATTTCAGCTACGCAGATCAACGCTCGGCAGAGAAGTATGGGACTTTGAGAAGGACTTCGAGACTGTATGAGGATCCGAAATACCTGGCGTTCGCATCAAGAGCCAAGCCGGTGAGTACCGGGCTAGCGAGGGTTCTCATTCCCGGGGAGTCGGCTCCGCTCTGGAGCGATTTCCCTGTCGAGCGCAAAATCGATCCGGGCAACAAAACCTCTCGTTCCAGGTCCAACCGCCCGTCGTCCCGTCGATCCGTAAAGATATATACGGGACGTATCGCGCCGCGAAAAAATACACCGCTCCTAAGATTCCGATTGAGCTTGAGCAAGAGCCGATATACGCAGAGCCAATTGAACACGTAGCGAAACCGCCACAGCAAAGCAATAATATGGACAGCGAGAGGAAGTCCGCGCAAACCGAAAACATCTATCAGGTTCGTCGACATTCTTTCGCTCTTCTGTTTTACGCAGCGTTGAGTAATGGCGGTTACGCCTCGGGTACAACTGAAACTCCCGAAACACAACTCGGGCAGCGTACGTTCGGAGTTGTGACCCATCAATATTGGAAGCCTTTTTGAGTGCGCGTTGGTGATTAAATTTTTCTCCTGGGTGCGAGTTCTATATCTCCGTAAATCTTAGTGTTTCGAAAAGATGATTCTTGACTGGATAAGTGTTGCAATAGCCGGTCGGCGCCGCGATGCGTATTTTTCAGCGATTTTTTCCAAAGCGATATTTCTATCCATTTCACGCGTCCAAATGAGGAGAATTGGGGGAATCTTGCAGGAAATTCGTGGATCGTCTACTCTCTCGCGGAAAGAACGCCAATTGGCCGAATTGGCACTTGAGCTCGAGAAAGCCCGATATAATTCAGTGCCAAACAGACGCTCCGCGCCCGTACTGTCGGAGTACGCCGGGCAGTGGGATCCTGTTTCGCGCCAGTTCCAGAAACCATTGCCACCGGGCGCCCCGGGTGGAGTTCCCAGGAAGACGCGACAAGCCCCGGCGATCCCAAGAGCTGCGAGTACCGGAGGGGGATCGATATCAAGGGCTGGTCTCTTCAATCTGAAGAAGCTTCTGAAACGAGGGAACAGCAATAAGGATGACGACTCCAAGACCTGGAAAGCAGAACTTCAGATCAGCCAACCCAGGTTCGTACCCGTATTCCCCCTCATTGGGGTTTCAGAATCGAGTTTGAATCGATCACTCATCGAGAAATGCCTCATACCGGACCGCGTTGGAATTATTCGTCCCCGGAGTTTCTGATTTGCCTGACGTGCGTTTCCCGCCAGGCCTATCCACCGCCCCGAAATCCTCCACCCGTCCGATTTGGAGCGTCTAGGGGAATCTGTCATCTATCAGAAACCCAGAATGAACACGACCAAAGTCGAAAGATTCGGATCCATTCTCCACGGCACTTCTGAAGCCCAGTTCCAGGTGAGTGCGAAACGAGCGTTTTTTTCTCATTCCTTTTCTCACGTTCTGCCGATCACGAGCCGACAACAATCGAAGGTGAACGAAACTCCCACTTGGACCTGGATCCCTCGCTGCCGATCGGATCAGTGAGGAAGGATTCCCCTGATACTAGATCAGAATATCGTTTGGTTGTTCAGGACTCCGAGCCGAAGACGGGCCCGACAGTGCGATAAGCAAACAAATCAAAATACTTTCGAGCTGTGTGCTATAAGCGGATCGAAACGGAGGCGAGACGCGTGCTCTGACATAATCACTAAGATTCGTTGAAAGAGAAACTCGATCGTCGTTAGAACAGACATCCGTTTGTTATGAGCCGAGGCTACTTTTCTCGTCTATTTCACTCTTGCACGTTGCTCTGCGGGTTGGTCGGTCGGTCGTCCACGCCCCGTGCCATCCCGATTGCGTCATAGCTTCAAACGTTTTTAAAAATATATCCGAATCAAATTTGAGGTTTCTTTGTCGATTGCGTTCCGTCCGATGGCGTCGATAGTTTTGTGAATGACGATTTAGCACAAACAATGTCGCCGCCTGCGGTGGGCCAGCGTTCGGAAGAGCTCGTATCCCCGAATCACGATCCATTAAACTGGAATGGAAGAAAAGGGAAAATCAGGAGAGAAAGCGACATCGAAGAGACGTGCGATATTCTTCAGATTTTTCCCGGCGTTCAGAAAGACGGAAAATACGCCAGCGCACTTCGACCTCTCGCTCGGTGCGAAGTTTCCTTCCTGTAAACAAGACGGAGTTCCGGCCCTATCGCAGACCTTTGACAATGTATACGATGACGACGTCGGAGTTGTTCGGATTTCGCCGAACCCACAGAACGATCCGATCAGCGGAGGGATGTGCCACAGGAAGAGAATATTCTCCAGTCATATCGCTCGGCGTGCTTCATTTATCTGGAAAGAACACCTAAGGAAGTTGTTTCCTCGGACTGTGATAAGAAAAGGGAGCCAACCGAAGATGCGGATTTGATGGAGCGCGGTAGTTCAGAAAACAAGAGCACTTTGCTGAAAGGGAGCAGATCGTCTGTACTGCTATCGGGGAGACGTATAATGATCGTCGTTGGGGTCGACGATCGTCACGATAAGAACCCAGATCCGATGAATGTATTCTGATCCCTTCAGAGCTCCCTTGTTCAGATCCGAAGGAGTCGTAGTAGGAAGTTGTCATGCCGATCGACCGCCAACAGAAGATACTCGGCGACTGAAGTGGGGGCAAGGGCTGCTCGAATATATTTCGTGGATTCGATGAAAACGAGCGTCGGCTCGAACACGGGTCGACCGCTCCGTCCGTCGTATCTTCACGCATTGACAGAAAGAAATAAGGGAGGCCGGAGGGGTCATTGGGTAGAGTTCAACCGGAAGACGAAGCGGGCAGTAGATTAATTTTTGCCTGACACACATTCGACACGAGACAGAAACTTATCGTGATCAATCATGACGAGCGAGAAGAAAGCGTAACGACGGTCGGGTGCCCATTCAAAACATGCTTTCGTAAAATTACTTGTAACATCGTCTATGCGGCGATTGGAGCGTATAATATCTAGTATACCGCGCAGACCCGGATCGAATTCGGCGAAGGGTTTTCTCTAAAGCCGTTTTTATGGCTCGGATTGGTTTGAAAGCTCCGTCGGCTTCGACCAGGCTTCGAAGACATACTAGTTTTTCGTTCCTTCCCCCGGTACTTCCCCCGTCCGTAGTCGCCTGCCCGCTAAAGAGGGAGTCTGCCGGTAGCATCATATACTCCTCCATAAGCAGCCGACGCGACCTGAATGACGCTGGTGAAGAATGCCTGCTCTTGAAAACCAACGGAAAATCGGAATCTTCTGTTTATTGTCCGGACATTCACGTCAGCTCACGTCCGCCGTACCTGCTTCTGCTCAACTCATTCTCGTCTAAATCTTCTTGATATAGATGGGTATCTCCGAGAGGGATGCCGAAAGCTCGGAAGAAATTATTCGGATCTTCGACTTTCAACTATCCATAAGTAAGGCCGCGGTCGAAGAAACCGTGAGCATGTCAGTACACCGGTGGTTGCGGGGAGGAGAACTCCGTATCGAGGAATATACCATCATTCCGTTCATCGCATCACCGAAAAGCCACAAATGGTGCGGTTGCATCTGCTCACGTCACTTATAGCGGCATAGGGTTATGCATGGTGTTCCACTGTCGTGGTGCCCGCAATGAGGAACCCATTGTCCGCACTCGCACCGTTTCTGTCGTCAGGGTTGCCCACCAGGCGTCTTCCGATACAATCCGATTCCGATGCTTGCTCGCGTCGACGCTGCGGTGGATTCGAAGTGAATCCTTGGAGGGTGGAAGCGCTGCCATCTCGAAGTTCTTGAAAGCAAGGAACAGTCAGGCGCCTGGCGTTGTGGGTCGAGAATTCCCCAAATGTATTTTGAAGCGCGGCGGATTACCGCGGGTATCCGGTGCGACAATATGGTCGACCGAAAGGTGACCACGACTCCATTTATGATTGTCGAGTCGATGACGAGCATTTCAGTCGTCATTTCTCGTGAGCGATGCTACGATCATTTGTCAACACGAAATCCCTCTCGCCTCCCCTGGATTCCTTTCGGACTCGTGCCAGCATGACGCGATCGTTTTCACGCATTGCGAGACTGGAGAATGCTCTGCACCCGCTTTGTCTCACAGGACTCCGATTTCAATCGGAAATCCTTGCGATGACTGTTGAATCCTTAAGAAGAACAGTTGTGACAACAGTCCGTAGTACGGGTATTTGATGGGGTACGATACGATGACTCTGACACGTACGATCGCCGTTATTGTCGAAATCGACCGAGGCTCTATGCTATTCAATATTCGCGATTGCTCATATGCTAAGTCGTGCCATTGAGTATCTGCTCGGTATCGTGCCGCACACAGCGGGCGCATCCCTTATTTGGCGGAGTATATCTGCTCTTTATCTGTCCTAGAATAGCGAAATACCCGCTCCGGCCGTGTCATACGAAGGACCCCAGGTTCGCTCTCATCAGGTTTGTGGTGCTGATAACGATTCCGAACTCATTCTTCAGCATTCCCCGTTGAGTCGAATGCCCTGCGTGCACGCAGTGTAGAGCATTCATCTGATTCACAATCAGCGGCGACGATTGACTCCGCATTGCGCTTGTTGAGGAATCCGAAGAACGTGTTGGACTTGTCAATTTATCCACGTAACGGGCGTAGGAATCACGCTGACGACCGTGGAGGGAATGAGCTAAGCCGTGTCGATCGATCATGTCAATTGGCGCCGGATGGTCAGTGATACTGGACATCATTTTATACGAACAGCCGTCAGCGAATGTTCAAAAGCAAATACGTCGACATACTCATGAGTGGCAAACCAGACGTGCCGACGGGCAGGCAGGCGGGCGGACAGCGGGCAGATACTTCCTCAATCACGCGATCGCGATGTCGCTGTGACGTTGAAGCCCATCGCAGAAAAAATCATCTAGCTGAGCCACGGGTCGCCTCGCTATGCGTCCGACCGGCGATCAGACGTGCGGAAGCTCCTACGGACGAAGACAGGATTCGCTACTTGTGCCTCGGTCGGAAGTCACTCGCTGAATGTTTCCACGACCTCTGACCGATTCCACTGCATTCCCCATCCGAGCCCATCCACTGCTTCGCTAATCAGAGCCGTGATTCGTCTTTTGCATCACGCGTGCATGAAAAGTCCTTCGACTCCATAGTCTGGATCAAATCACCTGGGGAGTGACGAGATTCCAATGACGAGGCCGAATATGACGCGCTCGCAATCTTCAGCGGATCGGAACGAGCGTCGAGATGAGAAAAAATCGATAAACATTCTTGGTTTTCTATCAGACCCATTCTACCTCTGCTCTGAAAAATTTATGGACGCCTGTAAATCAGGAAAGTTGCGACAAGAGCAGAGCCACTCATCGCGAGCTTCTTTCGCATACCGAGCGCTTTGTTAACTTGACCATTCTGTTGTTTCTCTTGACACAGCGCAGTAGTTGTCAGTGAAAATATGAAAAGGCGACCGCGCTCAGCTGGTCGGCAGCAATTGTTCAGCGACGTATGATCGCGTTGCGAAACGACGTCGAGTTACCTAAACCGTTTTTCTCTTCGACTTTTTCGTCGCTGTAGTCATCATCGCTTCGCGCTGACATAAAACGTTCTTTACGTAACGACAAGGAGGAGAATTCACCGATCGGTGGCCACAGCCCGCGAGATGCGTGATCGTGTTGCTTCTCACATCGCATGCAAAGTTCTCATCTAGAGCGGTGCATCGTTTTCGCGAGCAGAATAAATCGATGCATTATTAGGATTCCGGAAACGTGACAGTCTAGTCAATCCTAATTGTATAATGAGCTCTCCGATGGAGCTTATCTGTCGTAGTGGATTGGAATGGATTACGTACACGGATTAGCTCGATGAAACTGAGCAGACACTGATCACGTGATCACCATTCAACGTCAGGAGACAACGGTCCGGATTCCGAGCGGATTCTGCTCCCATGACAGACGCCAGGAGGCTGCGCGGATGGAGACGCAATCTGTTCGATTCGTTCCCTATCGATGAATTGCTGCACCGAATATCTCGAGTTGCCATTGATCAGGCTCGGACCGACCCGAGGAATCTAGGGTTTTCCTGAGGAAATAATTCCGCACCGCTTTTTGCGGATCGAATGTGTTTATTGATTGATAGCTATAGCTAAGACCCCTCAATTGCAGCCGTTGATGAACGTGGAAACTGCTCCTCCGCCACCGCCGATGAGACAGCGAGTCGTTCGTGACAGCGAATCTGAGCTCTCGAGATCCGCTTCGGATGTCGTCCGCCAGCAACCGAAGGTCCCCAAGCGGAGGCTCCGCCTCGATTACGCCAACATGGGTGAGTTCAGGAACAGAGTGAACCGAGTATCATATCGCTGAGAATTTTTCCGCTAGCGTTTCTTCAGAATTTCACAGCCGAGTTCGCTTCGCCGAAGACCTTGTGAAGGTTTTTGAGAGTCTCCACTTTGACTCGGATGACAGTTATGATGATTTCGACGACTTCGATGACGATTTCGACGACATAGAAGTCGAGAGCACAGAAAGCACTGATTTTGAGACTGGGGGTTCGTAAGGATTGGAGTGTAGCTTGGTTCGTTAGTCGTTATCACCCTCTCCGATTCGTGTTCAGACTCTAACCCCAAAACCGGAGATAAATGGCACGTAATATTCCGTTGGATTCCTGAGAGACCTTGGGTTGAATGTTTGTCGGTTGACTAATTGATGCATAGGTCCATTCGAGCGAAACAAGCAAGTCTTCTTGAACGTAACCTCTGGGTGGGTCCGCTGCTCCGTCACGAGAGGTTAATTGGTCTCGAACGACGCCTTATCCGCTATTTCCTTCGGCGCTAGATATAAATATTCCAACGACGGTTACGGCATGCTCGTTTGGACAGAGGGGACAGATAATGAAATGAAATCGCACTAGAGTGACTCGGGGACGACAATGCGAACGACGACGCTCTAACAATCGTTTGTGTTCTACCCTACGCCGCTTGATTCATGGCTTTGCTCGACGAGTTCGTCTGGATAAAAACTCGGTGCGGCTCGTAATGGAAAGTTCAGTCGGAACTGTAGAAACCTCTCGGCCAGCCTGCTGTGTATCGTCCGTTGTGTTGCCGTCTGCATGCTAATGGCATCTTAATCGATTCAGGGAAATCCGATGAGAAAGATTCGACGACTTCAGCCTTGCAGCCTCTAGCGTCCAATCTGTGGTCGAGTCCAGCGAAGCTCCTCGAGTCTCTGCAGGAGATCAATCACCAGGAGCTTGTCGGACTCTTGAATCATGTAAAGGAGACCTCATTTTCCTTCTCGTTCTGAATCGCAAATTTATTATCCGATTCTTATCCTTGTCGAAGAATCGATCAACGCTCTATATCTCTCCTAAATCCAATATATCTGCGTTACTTGTCCCATATCGTGCTTGAGCCGAACGATGACACTGCCTCGTACTCCGTCAAGGTCTCAACATGCAGCCACGGGCTACCTGTCCCCGAGAATAATGGTTCAAATCAAGGATCCGGCACCTTGACGTCAGCGTCTTGCAACGGCGGTATCTCCTGGGCCGATCTTAGGATCACTTCGGAGAAAGTCCCCAAGGGCGAAGACCTGCATATCTGCAAGGCGGTCTATAACTCAACGAATGCTAAATTAACACTTCTTGTAAGTACGGAGCCGGCCTCTTTCCGGGACCTTTCGTTTGTGAGATGCATGAAGAGTCGTGATAAAACCCTGCGTTCCCCTCCCAGTTCACGCCCCCGAAATCCCTTCCACTGGCGAACTTCTTGCTTGAGCGGACGGTCGTGGCTTCGAATGGGCTCCAATCAGGTCAGACGGTCCTCATCTTACCCCAGTCTCAGGTAAGATACCGATCGATCATCACGGATCTTCATTCGGAATCCACAGCTTAATGACTCATTTTGCATCGGAAGATATAGGCGTAACTTTTCCGCTCCGCGGAAACATTTTCAAAGTTGGGGGAGATCAAATAGTCTACCCATGCTGCGCTGATTCGATTTCCGGAATCTGTGAGTAATTTACAATCTCGCATTCGATTCCAGGTCCGCACACTACAAGAATTTTCTTCGCACTGTGACGAACGCAGCGCTCTGTACATAATGCTACAACTCTGCCGAGATCTTCAGAGTCTTCAATCTCAAGGCGTAGGTCGAAGTTTATTTCTGGATAGAGTTTGACGCGCCGGCGAGAATCAGCTCGGATGCCCTCATTCATTCCCTACGTCCGTTCTCGAGCTTGAATCGATCTTCATTTCAGGTGGCGAGCCTCATCCCCTCGGAACAGCAGGTTCTCGTAGCCTCGTGGGATCAACTCGCATACCTTCTCTTGATGTACAAGAAGTCTCCGAAGAATTCCACAGCTTCACAACAATCACTCAATTTGTAAGCCTCTTCGCCGAATTATAACCCGGAGAATTTCGCTCTCATCCATCCCAGACTCCGGCGTCCGGGAGAAGATTCTCCCCCTCCCCCGCACGACGATTCCTGAGCCCGATTCGGTTCTGATTTCAACCGTTCTGATTTCTCTTCATTGCATTCCACAGATTCGCGTTGTCAATCCTTTCCGAACTCCAAGCCCCCGAGAAGCAGAACCCTATCCTTAATTTAATCACGGACCTTCTGAAACGGAACGACTTCGATATGTGCAAGCGAGTCATCGAATTTGAGTTGTGGCAAGCGCCGAGAGATCCTATGGCAAACGCCGTTCCCGGGGAGAACGTGCGCGATGCCCTCAACAGGTGGTTGGCACTGCAGAAAGCTCTCACCGTGCAGAAGAACTGTTCAAGTCAAATGCGGCACTCGCCGAGCGGTCACAAGCAAATCCTACCGTGCAGTGTATTCCTCGAGTACCAGCTGCAATTCTTGGCGAACGCAACGGCTGACAGCCTTGCAGCTACCTTAGACGTCATCAAGCATCTTCCCGAAATGCCAACGCTGGCAACTGAATTCAGCGACCCGGCGGACAACGAAGAGCTATACGCCGACTACCGTTATTGCTGAAGTTTTACTGAAATGACGACTATTTCAACCTTGGCATTCCATACGAGCCGAACTTTGTTCCCCAAGACAGATGTTCCCTCCAGGGTGGATATCGAAAATGTTTGATCTTATTTACGACCGCCGTCAGGCAGTCCTAGCTAAATCATCGGACATGAGAAGAACTGAAATTATTGTCTCGGACCTCCTTCAAAAAACGTGTGGCCGATGGCGAAGGGGATAAATTGATATTTCGTTCGGTACACATACTGTTATAGATTTCTAATCTTGCCTTGCATTCATCCTTGGTTATTATTGATTGTTGGAGTCCAGCCGTTTATTTTGCAACTAATGACTCAATGAGTGGTGTACATATCTTGTACAGCGCGAAGAGTGCCCAGTCAAAGTGGAAGGGAATCTCCGAAAATAAACAGAGAATCGTTTTAGATGGTGGCGAATTTTTGTTTTCCTTCTTCCCAATCCTCTGTAGTGCCAGTCTTCTGTAGAGAATGGGTCACAAACTCAGAAATCTCGGTGAGTCCCTCATTCCGAAAATTTTAAAGATCCTCCGGACAGTGGTGTATAATCATCATCGGGGAAAAAGTCACCCGGCGGTAGGGATCTCCTCCGATCCGGATACGCTTTGGGCTCACGTACAGATATGGGAAAAATGTTCAGGTCTTTGCCTCGGAATGTGATCAAAACTCAAGGGAGGAACGCGGGTCTGTCGCGATTTTCCGAAGAATGCCCAGCCGAGCCTCCTTGGAGTGACAATATTCCAGTTGTCTCCGACACGCGGGTCACGATATATACAAAGAGGTTTTCGCGACCAGTCTCCGTTCACGCCTCAATAGCGAGGGTAGCGAGATCGATTCCCGAGGCTCCGATCAATCGAGGGACGAGGAACTCGCAAAAATTTGAGCCGTCCAAGGACTGGGTTAAGCGAAGGTCTTCTGCCGGAAACATCTTCGATAGGAGCTCTCCCCCGACCCTCCGAGCAGCTCGAACCGGTAAAGTTTCCGCTAAGCACTGGAACTCTTCCGGTATAGCCGGAAGTAGCTGCGGACCAATAATTGTGGTTCCAGCCGGACTCTCCCGAGGGTAGACGTAGACGTTTCCAACAAGAATGTTTCACCGTCTCCGCCCTCGCTCAGCCCACACGGCCATTTTCAGATATCCTCTCCGAAAAACAGTGCGAGACTCGTTATTAGTCCAGGCGACGAGTTGCGAAATTTTCCACATTACACGCGCAGCGATGGTGTCAATGACGCTCAAGTCCGGGGATTTCGCGCTGTTTATCGTCTGCAGTTTTCTTTTCCTGGCGCAAGTCGTGAGCTCGGAACGTTCCTACCAGGATCAGAGATTTACGGCTCGATACGACGCGTGCAACGACAGAGCACGTTTCGTACTGTCGCCCATCGACGACGGAGACTGTCAAGTGAGTGTCTCCAGTCAGGATTGCTCCTGAGACATCCGAGTCCAGAGATTAGTTTTCCGAAATCAATGGCCATCACTCAAGGGAAAATGGGCAGGTGGCATGACACAAACGATCGCAGGGCGTATAGTCAGCTAGTTCCGAGTGACGTCATGTTGAGGAATCTTTCATCAGGTGCTCTGTGGGCCATCTTCGGACAGTAAGCTTCTTCGCTTACCGGATCAGACTCTCTGTAAAACCAACGTCGAGAACGAACAAGGCTAGTTCTAAGAAATGCTCTTGAGGTCTCTGAGGATGACGCGGAGTCTCCCTGAATAATCCTCTTCAGTGACAACCTCTCACGCTCAACAGGCATCTGTCAAAATGGGCGTTGCATAAGCCCTCCGGCAGTCGCAGAAAAAACAGTGACCACCCGAAGACCGACCGGGCTTCGGCGGTCGACGATCAAGTTTGTTCCCTCCACCGTGCTCCCCGTCACATCGGGATTCACTAATTCATGGCAGAAGTGGAGGACCTACAGCCCTTCAACTCGATCCCCGCTCTTCAAGGTATGAGGAGCTTGTGAATTATGCAACGGACGAGTACTCCTACAGTCTGCTTTGTTATCGTTTTCTTTGATTCATCCAGCCGGACGCCGTCGTCATGGAACCTGTCAAGAAACAGCCGTGAGGATCACGGGAATCACATTGAGTGCCGAGGATACCAGTTTCTGAGGGACGAGAAGTATCCTCCCTTAGGGTATCGAGATGACAATCGATTATCTTCTCATCCTGGCGAATCCGCTCGATTTTTGTGTAATAAAATGAAACATTCGACGATTGCGAAATCCGAGAGAAGTTTATGAAGACCCTCTGCAACAAAGATATATACAGCCCGACAAGGTAAAAATTGGCTCATCGGGGAATCTGAGCCGCTGATTGTGATCAATAAGGTGGAACCGGAAGGAAGAATGTGGAGAATATCGTAAAGTCCGGACGAATGACGAAACCGTAGTAGGCTGACGAGCGTGAAATGATATCCTGATCTCGTGTTCCTAAGAAACTAGACATCGAGGAGACGCAACGTATCTTAGACCATCAGCCTTTTGAAAGGTTATCGCTAGCGAGCCGACGTGCTTAAACCCTCGTTTGAAAAGCCTCTCTTGAATCGTGGGTGATCGCACCTCTCCCGTCTCACTTCGGAGGAATTAGAGTCGTAAGTGGAGTTTGAAAACAATCGAGAATCATTCGCGGACACGTCCGGAAGGCGGAGTCTACCGACGAGTGTTTCGCGTTGTTGCAACGATGGATTCTCAAGTTTTTTTCCTGCTCTGAGTTCGGTCGCGTTTCGCAACTCGGTCGCGCTGATTGGTCGAAATAGTCTCTTCGCCCCTCCCTCGACGTACAGCGTGAACGTAACGAGCACGTACGCTAGGGCGGGGCTCCAGATTAGGCTCTCGTGATAGAAGGACCACTTTTCGGTAGGTTTTTGATCCACGGAGCATTTTCATCTCGAGTCCATCGTGACGAGAGCACCGACTCGACTACCTCACGAGTTGAGTGAGTGCGAGAGCGCATCGGTGTCGAGAAGCGGCGGCGTGCTTAGACGCAGCTAGAGCAACTCTGACAGAATGCTCTTTGCCAGTACGAACTGTAATGTCACTTCAAATAATGGTGAGTAGAACTACTGGACCTCTACCCATCTCGACGGACCCTCCGGATTCCTCTATGTCATCAGCTTTCCAAGGAAGCAATATGTCCTCATATTATTTCTGGAACTGGTTGATCGGACGCCACCTCACGAACGTCCCACGGAGATTCTTCGACAAAGATAGATGCATGCTCGTGGGGATGCATCTGAGCGATACAGTCCAGCCCACTTTTGCCTTTAACATTCCGAGCCAAATAGTGAGGACTCCGCCCCCAAACCTTGCCTATGTGTTAAGAAACCCAATATGTTCTATGCGGTCTGATTGAGACTTCCGATTCTATTTTTCAGTCGATAGAGAACTCGGTTGCCAGCTGCCTTCGATGATTCACCCGAATGGACAGTTCCCTCCAACTTTAGAAATATATTCAGCATCTGGTGAGAGAATTCCTCTGTCGGGTCCGAATGTCATTGATCCACCTCCGAAGATTCGCTTCATATCTGTCGCGACATTAGGGTCGGAAAGGAAGTTGAACTCGACTCTGCGCGGTAGGACAGTCAGTCCAACCCTCCGTAGATGGTGGTGCCGTCGATTAGGAGGAAGTATTTCGGGAAGGCGTTCCCAGGATCAAGGGCGGAAACAAGGGGAGCCCAGGAGTCCTATGTTCGTGTGTTTCTTCCATCCCTGCGGCTACCCATAGGCGGAACCGCAGTGAATCGGAGAGAGAAATCTTCAGCTCATCGGGAGCTTCATCGGAATCACTCGAGTTGACCCTTCACATCCACTTCCAGGCGTCCGGAAGTATCCGCGTCAGCTGTCAGCGATCCTAGCCGGCGGTACAGGATACAATCTTTTTTATGGAACGCCTCCAACGTCGTGCTCCTCGCCGACTTCTCCCGATCAAAGGATGGCACGTGAGTTCTGAAGAAGTTTCCAATCGGGTAGCTCATAGATTCTTATTCTCAAGCCTTCCGATCTTTCTCGATGTTTCAGTCTGCTCCCGTTCAGTGTCGAGCGGTTCGTCCAATATCTCCACCGTGAGCGCCTCATCGGGCACGCGGCAACGAAAACGCCGGGTCCTCTTCAGCCAAGCCCAGGTTCGTGTACCTTAGGCGATGAGATGAACCCGAGTTAGGTGGTGAGCTCCGAGGGAACAGCAGCGTGTCCGTCCGTACCCAAAGAAAAGGAGAGTCAATTATCCGTGAATCCGCAGGTGATCGAACTGGAGCGGCGATTTCGGCAGCAGCGATACCTGTCTGCTCAGGAGAGAGAGCAGCTTGCGAATCTTATCCACCTGACGCCTACGCAGGTAATTGAGGAGCCGAGCAGAATGAGAAACGCTCACTCAGAAGCGGAACAAATATTCGTAGGAAATCCCTCATAGGATTGACGGCTGAATAATATGATGTTGATGACGCTGCAGGTGAAAATATGGTTCCAGAATCATCGATACAAATGCAAACGACATGCCAGAGAGCGTCTCTCGATGGCATCGACATCAAATCAGATTGTGCCGGTCCAGAGCGGCGTCGAAGACTTCTTAGATGATAAAAAGCCTTTGCTAATGCCCATGCTCGTCAAGGATATGAACAGCAACAAAATATACGCTCGCACGGTGTCAACAGATCACGCAGACCCTGGAGACTTGGCTGGTGAGCCACGAATCATGAATGAGTTGTTCCGATTGTTTTTCTCCGAATCAAATCAGAAAATCGTTCGAATCCTGCGTTTCACACGAATCCTAGGTGGGCTTGATCCGATGCACATCTACTCCGCCAGACCTGGTTTCTCTGGCTTGCATTCTGGGAAAGACGTATCCCACAACGGAGTTTCTTCGTCGAGCTTCGCCCACCATAAACACTGGTGATTCGCCCCGAGCTGTTCATCTGGCCGCACACCAGGACCGGATTAGACCTCGACCCGAGCCTGGGGTATGCCTACAGGAGCCCATGCCAGAGATTCCGAGCGACACACTCGAGGCAATAGGATCTGTCTGAGACTAGCAGACGCTATGCAAGAAGAGGGATTCGCTAGCCTTTCGATCAGCATACCGCCGGAGCTGCGGACAGCTCGGGTGCATTTCCAGAGAGCTGATCGGAGCTCCTCTTGGGAAATAAATCATATGGATTGATCAATGCAAGGCGGCACGTGTTTCATCAGGTACTTAAGAATTCGACTCGTTCGTGAGATACATTCCGTAGGCTGAGTTCATGAGGAGTTTTCGACATTGTAATTGATAATGGCAGCAGTAGCTTCCGATGCGCTAAACGTTTGTAGTCGATCGGCTGCTGAAGACGACCCATTATTATTATCCGCCAAATATCCGTAGACTAGCGTTCTCAAGTTTCCTCGCTGCATGGGGACGGATCAATATCAAGGATGAGTTGAAGCTCCAGAGATGAATTTTCTCACCGTACTCAGCGTAAGCGTTCATTTTTTATTAAACAATCGGGCGTTCGAAAAATTATTCCCCGACACGCTCGGATCGGATCGTAGTTGTATCCAATTCAATATCGAATGATTTTTCCATCATCCGCATGCGACTATACACACCTATTTACACAACTGACAGAGACAATCAGAACAACACGGTGAGCCGTCTGCCAACTACCGTTCAGGCGTAATCAGCGTAATCCGAAAAACATGGCACACAAGAAGAAAGTCAGAAATCGGATTCGAGTATTCTCAGTCAGAAAAAAGGATTTCTCCCACATAGATCAGGAATGTCACACAAGCAGGTCGGCGACAGCCCACCGCGTTGCCTCGAAGATAACAGCGGCGATTGTGAAAACGAACATCGAAACAAATCTTCTCTCACACCGCAGTTCATCTTTCTAGTTAGATCACAAGAGTCTCGGATGGTCTTCAGGTCCCAAAAACAGCAGCTATCGTTGTTGACCTGGGTTCCGCGTGGAACTTTTGACTAGATGCATTCGCGAGCTGAGCTTCTTCATAATGGGAGCCTATCAGCGCTGTCATTTTCCGAATGCTAAAGGGCGAAGAACATTCGAGTTCTTCCCCGGGTAACTCTGCCGGATTTTCAGCTCCGTGTATCCGGGATTCAGCTTTCTCTTTCAAATATAACTATCTAGATGATTGTAGAATGATGCTAACGTTCGGAGGATCTGCGGGAGCGTCAGCCGTTCTCCGGGAGAGGTGCTCCAGCATCTTTCCATGACTTCGTATCTGAAAAAGATTTTCGCGTTGAAAACTCTACCATCCGAGGCTGCATGCAAGTGCATGAATTTTCCTGGAGGTATGAACTCAATGGGTAACGATTTCCCGGGTTCGAGTTCTCTCGCCCGTTTTTTCGTTAGAGCGTAGCGGAATAGGTACTCACAGCTCGTCGGGACAGTTGGTCGGCTGAGCTAGTCTGTATCCGCTCGTAAGACAGACACCCATATCGAAGGGGTCGATCTCGGGATAGGGCTGCTGCCCGAAGGTCACGAGTTCCCACAAAGCGACCCCGAACATCCACAGGTCCGAAGCGAAGGTAAACTCTCGGTTCTGCAGGGACTCGATCGCCATCCATTTGACTGGGCGGTTCTCATTGTCTCCCAGACAATCATAATCGTCCGGAAATATATCCCGGGACAACGCGTTGTCGGTGATCTTCACGTGCAAGCGATCGTCCACCCTGCAATCGAAATGCTTCCTGTCATCACAGAGAATCGAATCCTTCTCTCTATCGCGGGTCAGATGTCCAGCAAGGCGTATATCTTTCGATCGAGGGAATTTTCGGTGTACTCACACGCAGTTCCTCGTCGCAATGTCTTTGTGCAGAAAGAACCTCCGGTGCAGGAACTTGATCCCTTCAGCAATTTGCACTCCCATATCGACGAGATCCCGCGTCGTCAAACAGTGATGTCCGCATTCCGTTTGCGAAAATTTGCTGCGCCGCAGGAACTGCTTCAGGTTTCCTTCACTCATGAATGGGTACATGAGGACGGGCTGTCCCGTCGGGGTATCGATACAGCTCCGCACGACCGGTAGGATGTTGGCGTGGTCCATACCGAAGAGCATCATTCCCTCTTGGAGAAAGAGTTGCGTCTGGCACACACTCGCTTGTTCCGTGACGGTTTTCACCATCACCGACGTCGAAACCGCTGCGGAAGTTGAGCCCTCGTTCAGCAGAGCGTGATAGACTCGGCCGAAAGCGCCTTCGTTCAGGAGTTTCACAAACGTGAAGCATCGAGGGTCGACGGCGAGTTCGGCGATTTGCTCCGAGAGCAGAGAACTACTCGACGTGTCGTTTATTGTCGAATACTGTCCCAGCGAACTGTTGATGCCTTGAGACGAGTGCAACGTATTGTAATAATTGATAAAGGGCATCGGACTAGGCGCCAGCGGGGGGCTGGCTTTTCTGAACGACGAATACGAAGCCACAGTGGAGGCGACTGGACTCCCGACGCGTATAATGCGTTGACCGTGCAGAGGTTCGAGATTCGAAGACGTGATTATTCCATATTCTCCTGCATGGGTCTTGATAGTTGAACTCGCCGTGGTCCATTCTTGGAAGTATTTGTCTGCACCGGCTTGCGTAATTATATTCGCTTGTGCTTGACGAAGTTTTTTGTTCTTCAGGTAACAGAAGGCGCTGAGGGTCATGAATGCTGCGGCGACGAGAAATGCAACGCCGCCCACAGCCAGTAGCATCGGTCCGTGATCCACGTGAACCGAATCTGCATGGAAATACGCAAAATTTTAATTATATGATACGTGTCGAGCATGGGTCCCGCGAGCTCCAGGATCAGGACCCTCGTAATCGGAAACATTTTCGAAAAATCGACATATGAGCTGTAGAGCGAGAAATAAGGTGGATCTATAAGGTAGGATCTCCCGACCTATGGTCATAGTCGAGTTGACGGACTGCTTGCGAATTTGTTCTGCATGTAAACTGTTGTCGTCTATGTACGTTTCCTCAGCATCGTCCTCGTCTTGGAGATCCTCATCTTCCGGGATATCGGTCGGAGATTCGGTCGTTGTCGTTGTATCCACGACATGGTCACCTGCAGAGAAGCGATTATGTAATTTTCCGAACGCCGCGAAACGATTTGGCTCAATTCCAGGACAATATTCGACCATATGATTCCGACCACACATGGGTGTGGGGGCCCAATAATCACTAGGGCGGTTTTATTCATATTGCGATGACGTGTGGTGCTGTCCCGCTCGAGGAACTCGGAAAGTCTCTACTCACTTTTGAAACAAACTTTCTTCCGGTAAATTTTCACAACTGTGCTACTGCTCTCATCGAAAGATTCGGTGTTGGAAACGCTGATGATTATCGTGATCCGGACTTCCGCAGTTTTCTTGCCCGTGCAGGAGAGTTTCGCCGAGAAATCTTGGACGGAAGTCGGTAGAGAGCCTGAAAGACACAAAGGATGGAACTTCGAGCTTCAGCAGCTCCCTGAGCACCATCTGTCCGATACTCCATTGGACTCTGTTCTCGCGAAAATCCTAAGAACTCGGCTCACCTCGTGTTGGAATGTCTACTTTAGGCAGATGCATGGCGTCTAAATCATCAACACTGGTCTCCAAACGATAACTCAAGGGCACCTGCGGTCGAGTGTTCTGCCAGGTGAAGACAACTTGGTGCGTATCGGCTGGCACCGGAACAGGGAACCGTAGAGCGTAGTCATTGATGGAACCTTCTTTGACGTAGAATAGCTCGATTCTGAGACCTGCAGAGAAAAGAAGGAGAGGTTGAATTAGCGATTATTCATTCCAGTCGGACTTCCTTCCCAAGCTCTCAAGTTAAAACATATTATCTTCTGCCCTATCGGCCCTGTTAGCGAAGTCGGGGCAAGCGCGGAGTATATTGGCAAGGCCATATTTCATGCGGGCTTGACTGAGCTCTGGGCCTGCCCTGTACGAGACATCCGGCGTGAAACGTGGGTGTTCGGTGGGGTGTTCCCTGAGGTGCTGTATGGGTTATCTCCCCGCTCTCATTCGTCTTTTTTTCCTCCTACCCGTACTCCGTCTCTCGCTCGGTCAGATCAGGGTGTCGACGCTCCCGAGTGTAAAATTGAGCCTTGCAAAAGAAGTGCAGGGGGACATATCGGTGCCTCTGCTATTGAGAACGCCTCGATCGCATCTCTTCAAAACAGATCAGATTCTCATTTCCGGAAACGACTTTGTCGTCAACAATGATTCTGGGATCGCGAGCGACCACCGTCCGAAGTATAGATTCAAAATCGAAGCGAACTTGTTGGATTGTTTCGAATCGCGCAAACTCCATATGATCGGGGCAACAGTGGTCAGCCTCCAAGAGATTAGTCGATCCGATTCCATTCTCGGACCAAGGAGGGACATCGTCCAATTCCGTGCCCATTGTGGCGACTCCCTAGCTCGCTTGAAGCCCGGCGCCCCACGGCTGTTCGAGGTCCGAGTGGGCGATGAGGAACAGCATTTGATGGTCCGTGTGGAAGTTCTTTGTGAGGAGGTGAATGACGTCGCACATTCTCCCAATGACTTCGTGATTTTATCCGACTTCTTCCTCGGGATTTTACTCGGTCAAGCATGGGATGTCCTCCTCCAAGGGGTTGCTCTTCTCCACTTCGACACCGAGCTGATAGTGTTCGCGTTTATTGGCACCGATCTCATCGCGGGTTCCACATCCGCTCCCCATCAAAAAACTTCCCACCGAGAGTCAGTGTCGAGATAAAACATTCTACCCAAGCTTTGCCGAACAGGAGGCTCAGGTCGATAGCAAACACCTTGCCGCGGGTCTGCCGGCACGGAGGCGGAGAAACGATCATCGAAGAAGGATTCCCGCGTTCAGGAAGAAAACATGCAACGAGCCACGAGACCGTCGCGTCCATGATCCGAATTTCCAAACTAGCGAGACGGCATGGCGCGCTGTGACGTGAGCTCCGCTCGATAGCTCCTCGAGCTTGGTGTCGCTCCGCTATTCGAATACGCCCAAGGAACTCACAAGGCTCTAGCGTACACTCTCGCCTCGGCCAGGTACATCTTGAGATGAAGTGAGCTGGTCTAAGTGCTCTTGAGATTTGAGAGGCTCTCGGAGCTCCTTTTTCGACAACTACCAGCTTCATCTTTCATCCTCATTTCTGCTCCGCTATCCTCGGGATAATCATCGGTAGTGCTTATTCCGTCTAGAGATGTCGCAAGTTCATCATCATCATCCCCTCGTCTTGAACCGGTGTTTTTCCCGAGTTTCATTTTTGTCTCGATTAGATGTTTCCAAAACAAAGCTGAATAAAAGGATCATTTGCTCAATCGGTCCTTACCAGAGATGAGCGCTCCCCAGATGTCGAGTTCCCACGAGTCGATAGACAGACGGACATCGTTCTTGATAAGTCTCAAAACTAATTTGCAGAGGCAGAGACGACGCTCGTTAATTAAGATGAACTCCGTCAAATATTTCATTGTCTCCCTTGCTCGGTTCGTGCTCGTTTGCTGTCGTGCTTCCAATTGACTGGTAGATATTTCTCTTGGCTCTACGACCCTCCGCTTGTGATGAGCAGCCGTGAGCAATAATAACGATATTTGGGCCAGTCGTACATCACTCTATTTAGTTTCGTTCTGGCGCAGTTGAGGGGAGCCGAGCTACACTCAAGCGATTCGCCAGCAAACAGAAACATTCAAGAGCTCGGGTCGTGTACGAATCCTACAGAGAAAGCTGAACGCGCGATTATCTCCGAGAATATCGTTTTCCCGCCAAACCGTTGATGAAATGGCTCGAGCCTGGAGCGGAAGGAGAAGTCGAGATCTTCGACGACGCGAAAATCTTATGAAATGGAAATAGGACCGGCCGGCCCCTTTACAGCGTGAAGTGGCAGTGCTGTCGAAACCGTCGGACTATCGGAGAACCAGTCCGTGAAAAAGTTTCTGCTAATCTCCTCGGTCGTTTCTGCTGCTACTGACAAGTCAAACGAAGTTGTCGGAGAGCTTGAGATAAAGCCTAGATTTACGACAAACAGAGATTGTTTCTACCCATGAACCCATGACAAGTCGTTGTTTTAGTGTTTGTTGGCGTTGACGTCGATTCCGACGTCCTCTGAAACGTCTGAGTGGTGGTAGCCTGGGAAAACGGCTTCAGGACTGCGTTTATCAAGGACGACATCGGCAGAATAGCGTCTGCGATGGAAGTTGCGTGAAATCCGTGGTGAATTCGCCAGTGATTGTAAGGAACAACCGCACGAGCTTCCATCGCAGACTCACGCGGGAGATGTTCTCGGAAGCTTCCGGAAAGGATTACAAAAAAAACGTAATCGACCGCGTAGGCTCCCCGGAAAATTCCAGTCGTTTCGTAAAGATCGCATTCCCTTTCAGTGGAACGGTATTCGAGGAAGAATCTCATCATTGCCCCGGAATTCCACAAAATGAATAACAAGGACTCGACGTTTTATTGTGAAACAAGACTCCGACCCACTCCATCGGATCGAATCAGGCGACTGGATTACGAAAGATTCGGATCACATTGAGTCGTGTAACGGAACTCCCGACTACTCCGAGAGGATGATATCAAATGCATCGCCAGAGACTTCTCCCGCGGGTCGAACCTTCGGATGAACGGCCTTCGGGAGTCACACGGCTTCCGAATATCCATTTATGACGACCTCGACTGCGCGTGAATTCCAAGCCCCCGACTCCTGACCAGACCGAACCGAGCTCGTCATCACAAACATGATTACTTACCTGAGAGACGATCTCAGGCATAAACTGCGACCCAAAATGATAGGAGCAGGTTCTCCAGCGCTTGGCGCCTCTCAAGTGCTAGTCTGGGGAGTAGGGCAGATACTGGGATAAAGAAAAAACGATGGAAGTGTCAGATGACACATCAGAACATCGGTCTGGGTTGCCGGTCTGCACCGCGAGCCCCTGGGAAGAGCGAGCCCTTAGAAGTTCCCCGACTAGCAGGCTGATCGCTGTCTCTCGGAATTTTTCGTCGTCCCTGACGAACATGGTGCTCTTCTTCCACAAGCTCTGCCGATTTCCTTCATCAAAGTCCGGGCTCGGGGCGGATGACATTATGGGATCGTTAGACGTTCTGGACTTCCGCTGTCCGTACCCGTCACACCGTCTCATTTGGGCACTTTTCACTTTTCCGTCGGAATGATATACTTTCGTGTAAGTGGAATTCGATACGCACGACATCTTCGTGAGAGCCGTCCGGGGAGGACTCTAAAGAATCTTTCATTTCACGGATTTCTCCGAAGAGCTCGTTGACGTCGATCACAGGGCGAACGAGTGAGGGCGCTCAAGTGGACGTCGGGCTGGACGAATGCAGAAGACCATGGACTGAAGGAGGGATGAGAAACGATGCCGTCGAGAGAGGAAACAAGACGAAGAGGGTCTTGGTATCCCGCTGATCCGAGTGAACCTTGTTCAAACAACCCACGAACGGGTGGGCGTTCGGTGCGAGAAAACGTTTCTTGTCTCCCATTCTTTCTCCTACTCGAAGTGTCTCCTCTTTCGTCCTCGTGACTTCTTTAGCTCTCGAGGTGCGTCATTCGCGCACCACATGCTTGTCTGAGACCGCATTCATTGACTCTGGCATTCGCGGATGACCGCAGCGTTTTGTACGAGCAGTCGTTCTGCACCGGTCGAGTGAGTTCCCTTAGTGAGGACTTCCCACCTCCGGAGAATCATTCCCGAAACCGAGAATGAACTCACGTCGAGCACGGAATACGAAAATCAGATCTTTCATCATTCGGACCTGAGACAGCACAGAATAGAGCTTCGGAGAATGAGAAGAAGACTCGACTGTCTCGGCTTATTGGTTCGATACAGACACAAAGATCTTCCTTGATGGACAAACGGATCTCTGGCGGAAACTAGACGGGTCTCAAGTTCAGAAAAGGCGCACCTTCTCTTCTGAGCTCGAGTGCCGATCAGGAGTCACAGACTGTGAATATGAACACTCTGGACAAATTGAATGTGTGGAAACTAGCGGCATCGTTCTAAGAGGTAGAACTTTGTAGCGATGAACATGTTCCCACATGCTGTCAACTCTCAGAGATCAGCATGCTCGGATTCGGGTAGACAGCGAGATCTTTTGCTTGTCCTCACATGACTGCTTCCCCATTCATCAACAAATGTCTCTCAGACATGGTACTCGTCGAATGAGACTAGCTCTCAGAGTAGGTACTTCTGGAACATTCTTCCTGACCCTTCCCTGAGCTCTTCTCGCAAATGAGTCGGCGGTAAATTTCCCATGTGCAAAACTACAATTTTCTGTGCCAGCGCGCTCAACAATGTGAACGCATAATCCACCTCTTGGTCCGCTTCTTCAAGACTAGGCGTTGAATAAGAGAATTAAAGATCCCGATCCGACCATGTAATCGAATGAAGCGAGTACCCAGAGGTGCGCGGAGCGGACGCTCGGCACCTTGTGGTCGTTAAGAAATTCAGTCGCGCTGATATGTAGAGGAGATAGCAGCCAATTGTCGCCTGTGTCGAGATAAGACTGATGAGGGAAAGCAAAACTGGTTCCTGCGCTTTCCCGATCCCCACAGCCACTGTCTTCGCTCACGTTCTTCGTGTTCTCTCTCCTGGCAGTGTTCTGGATTTGTTTGCATTAGAACTTTGGAGCTTCCCGGCTCTCTCATGGACATCCGCGGAATAAAATCTCGACGAATTAGATGGACGGATAATAATAATTGTTCCGAGCCATCCGCAAGGTCCCTTGAATTCGAATCATCCCATCGATTGGCTTTATGAGTTTTGGCCGCGAATCCCGGCATGCTGTCGGGCAGAGACGGCTCCGTACGGCTCGGATCCTTCGAGGCTTATTCCGTGTTTCCCGCTCATCTTATACGAGCGTTTCATGAATTTCATCCACCGAAGCTCGTTCTCGATCTGATATTATTCGTTTTACGACGATGCTCGAACCGTGGAGAAAATCTCGGTAATTTGTTCCGACGTGCGCGTGTTCGTCTGTTTATTTGTGAAAGCAGCTCTTTAGATGTGTCTACATTTGTACGTCCGTGAGTAGGTGAAAGAGTGTTCTGTGGTTATTCTGTTTCCACGGTAGACGACAGACACAGTTCATGGGCCCCTGTCTCGTCTTCGTTAAACTGCGGGACAGACCGACAGACGAATAGAGAGAAGATACCAGTCAGCCGCGCATCCATTTCTCACAGCCGTTTGGAGAAAAGAAAAAGACGACCTGCGTCGTCGTATCGCCAGCTACACCAGCATCACGGCTACGACGACGGCCGAGAGGAGGAGGAGGAGCTTAGCCGGCAGCCGCAGTTTTTCGCCTTCTGCTTCGTTTTCTCGTTATTTCCTTCCCTAGGCTTGTTGCCGATTTCTCTTCTGTACAAATAAATGGCTGCGCGCGCTCCTCGTTATCGAATCAACACCAAGAGGCGACCCGGGCAGCGAGTCAGGAGTTGGCTGCCAGAGTTAACTGGCCAGCGTACGGACGGAGCGGCCGTTCCGTCAGGATGATCCGTTCAGTCGATCGAGGCCGAAGTCGAAGACGGGCCCGTCATCGTGGCTGTCGTCGAATGAGGAGTCGCCGAAGACGACAAACGATTTCGGAGACTCGAGCAAGCGGTCGATTATTTCTGACCGGAGCTAGGGGCACGAGAATCTCGGTCGCACCTGTCTTGAAACTCCGGAAAGTGCGGAAAAAACACGAAGCCCCGAGACTTATGAGGATACCTCTCCACCGAGCCCTCGATTTCGAATTCCACTCCGAAGTGGCGACTGCCGCAGACCATCCTTTGATCGCCTTTCCCGGAGATAGACAACGAGGAGACCTTCATTTTGCAAACTACACGATCATCATTGTCGTAAGGATCGACTGATGGTCTAAAAGTTCTATGTTCGACGATCCTGCTGTAGCTACGCCTATGAGTAGACCATCTGCTCTGCAGAAGACGAAAGATCCGACCCGAAGAGTTATCGTCGTGGGGCTTTCAGAAGTTTCCCTTGCTGATGCTGGACTTCTGCTTCAGCTAGGGGTTGGCCGAGAGAGCGAGCGATCAAGCAACCGCCCGATGGTTCCGCCATTGTCATCCGTAGTGTACACACGCCGTACCCAGCATACAGTCTGCGAGACACACAAAACACACATCGGCCCAAGCCTACATATGTAATGAGTTTCGAGAGAAAAGGAAGAACGTACGCTGTGCCCTAGTGTATTCGAAAGGCGCAATCGACGAAAAACCCTCGTGGGACATTCGTAGAGTTTTCGACTCCTACAACGTTTCATGATTCGATACGCAATCGCACCGATGATTCATGAGGATGATGATACGGATTTCCATCGGAAGCACCCCTTGGATTTCTTCGGTTTCGCAGGGAGCATCCCCGATCTGCCTAATTAATATCCACCCTTCATTTTGGGGGAGATTATCAGTTTTCGAGAATGCTAGCGATTGACAGAAATGTAAAATGATATTCCTCACTCCGAC